TTGTCAGAGCAAAGGAGAGCTCCCCTGGTAACTCCCTAGGATCCAGCTCCCATGCTCAGGGAGGTGGTGATGCCCTTGGCAGGGTGCCCTGTTCTCACTCCAGCCCCAGAACCCTTGGCTACCCTTGCCCTTCTGGCTATAGCAAAAAAAGGAACTCAATCCTTCTCCTTACCTGAAGAGCTGTAATTTCCCTCAGCCATATCAGAAGCTGAATTGTTAATTCCCCCCATGCTCCAGGCAAGTGTCCCTGGCCCAGAACAGCCCCTTGGGAGCAGCCAATGGTGCTGTTCAAAACTTCAGTCATGATGGCTACTGAGTTTTCTTATAAATGAGAACCTGCATTTTTATGTATGTGGCAAAATTATCAAGGCCTTTTCCTCAGGTTTCCTGTAAGTGGGTTAAGTTGTGTATCCAAAACATTGGGACAAGCAGCAATAACAAACTTGGTCTGAAACAGACCTCGAGGTTTTGTACCAAACAACCTTTGAGCACAGCAGTAAAACTCTTTTCTGTTATCCTCAGCCAGCCACAGGAGTTTTCCTGTTAGTGAACGTTTACTATTGATTTAATTTTTGGCTTTTGTATTATTCTCTGCAGGACTCTAAGTGGTTACTGGAAACGGCAGAGCCTGCACAACTGCTGCTTCAGCATCTGCAGCCAAAATGGTTTAAGCACATCCATGGAGAGTTTAGGCTTAAGGGACTGCATTCCCAAAGCTGAGCAGAGAAAGGACTAAGAAGATTTACACATTTTCACATTTTCAGTTAATACCAAAATGATTTCTTTTGGTTGCATCCTTCAATTAGCCAAGTAACAAGACAGCCATAGTTCAACAGTTATGGCCTGTTTCCTGGTCCTCTGTATCTTTATTATTTACAACAGTTCTGCATTTAATTGAAGGAGTAATATGGTCTGAAAGTGCCAGGAAGGTTCTTACTGGGCCTCTCTGCTCCTGCTCCTGCCGTGCCATCAGTGAAGTTGTTTTTAGTTGTCTGTAGCTTGGAACACATAACCCACACAGTGACTAATTACAGTCCCTAACGATGGGTCCCCAGTGGCTCCAACTGGAGATTAAAATGTGCAGCTCAGCCAGGGCCTGAGAGCTCCCCCATCCCTGGAGAACCCCATGCTCCTGCTATTCTCAGCAACAGTGGGGTTGGAAAGGAACAGGGATGCATCACCAGCCTTTGGAGTGAAAATGAAAACATCAGCAGGAGCCCCAATGCTTTGCTTTCCTAGGATGCTTTCTCTTTCCCATATAAGTGCTGTTATTGTTATATTTCTATTTCAGGCAAGAAACATAATTTTATTTCTTTTTCCATTTCAATCGTGTTTTGATGCGTTCCCTTCACATACAAGAGCAAGGATAGTTCTTGATGATGATAATAGTAATTGGACCACAGGGAAATACTACTGCCTGTGGATACGTGACAGGCAGGGTACTTGAGAGGAGATGAAGACGTTTCTGGTCAGAATGGAGCTTTTGGGGGTCAGGCTGAAATAGTGACTTACCTGAAACATCAGCAAAACTACTGAATTTTCATGTTTTGCTTTTACCCAAGAAGCCTAACAATGAAACCAAAATTCCCCACAGTGACCGGCTGGAGCAACTGAATTCTTCCTTATCAGGATGGAGGATCACTTCAGCAACCTCCCCGTTGGAACCCTCAGTAAATGGTAAAGACTGTGTAGCTGCAGTTCAATGTCTCTATCAGCATCATTCTTAAGGTGAAAGAAGAACACAGCTTATGTATGCTTTGGAAAAATGCTGGACTAAATTCTCTGGAGTCTTGAGCGCTGTTGTAAACACCAAACACATCACTGTCCTGGCTGGTGTGCTGAGAATTCCTGAGCTGCAAGATACAGGCAAGGAAATATCCTTAGACAGCAGTTAACCCTGCACATATTTAACCTCAGCTAATCCTGGAAGTTGTAAGGAGAGATCCTGATCATGGACATCAGGTGAAACGTGGCCTTGTGGCTTCAGGACCAGAATTTGCAGGGGACAAACCAACCTCCCAAAACATAGCTGGGAGCAGGCAGGATAAAGATTTTTTTATTCCACTCTCTTTAAATGATAGTTTTAATTAGTTTGGGTTTGACTGATACTGTACCACGGGGACAGAATCAGCATTGGTTATCAGATTTCATCTTCCCGTCTTCATATTGGGAAACATGAGGCTCTATTTGTAACATCTATTTGTAACATCTTTGTCCCATGCCATTTTTTTTCAACTCTATGGACTTAATGATGAACGATACAATACTCATTTCATCTTTGTGGGAAGAGAATTCAATACTATAATCTTGTAATAAAATAACTTAAATGAGTGTTGTGAAAATACCAACCTGTTAAACCCATGCCAACCTCAGCCACTGTTTGTGGAAAATATCTAGAATGAGCAATAAATAATCAAGCCACCAGAAAATATGAGCAGAGCCTGGATGGTACAACCTGTGAGCTGCCTGGTATTTTTAGTGTTACATGAAAACAATCCCCAGGGAAAAGCAAAGCTGGTTACAGAGGACAAAGGTGAGGCTTTAGTCACTGGTATTTGATTTTTGGTACACTATCACTGCAAGCAGCCAGGGGAAAGATTTACTAAGGTATTTAGGTATCTAAACATGCCTAGCAGCATTTATAGCAGCATGTAAGTAGGTTAGGTGCCTAATTCCCATTAACTCCACGAACATGTTTAAGCTGCTAAACATCTCTGCAAAGCTGGCCCCAGTGCCTGGGCTGACAGGTGCCAGTCTGAGCTGGTGTGACGGGGCTCACTCCCTGCAGGCTGCTGCTCCTTGCAGTGGGGAGTGTTGGCAACACACAAGGACCAGGAGCACTCAACAAACACTCCTGAGCTGACTTACATTTTTACTGCTGCCTTAAAATAGAGCCACACAAAAGTCACTCAGAACAGCACTTGCAAAAAGGCCACTGAATTTCGGAGTTTGGTTTGGAGTCTTGAGCTGAGGGTTAAGAATCCCATCAGTTCCCAGAAAAGGAAACATTTCACAAGCCAAGCCAGAGCAGCGTTTCTTGAGCTCCTGGAGAGCCTTGCCCACAGTCAGTCCTGCACAGCCCAGCCTGTTCCACAACCACAAATATTTTTCTTAAAGGATTTTCCTTTCCCTACCTCACTGGCACCAGGCACCTCCTGAATATCAGAAAGAGACTTAAATGAACCAACCCATTCCTAAAGCAGCCTGTTACAAGAGGCATTTCAACAGATGGAGAATGTTATGTGGGTCAGATTAATTCCAATATAAAGGTGTAGTTTTATTAATTTAAATTTAATAACATGCACTTTAGTATATTTTCCACATATTTTTTTTTAATTCAGGAATAAAAATGAAAATTTGATGTTCACAGTTGACAATTGCTCTTTACAAATTCTGTTCCAAGTTATGCTAGAACCATTTTCTTAATATACACAGTTCAGCTTAAGCAAAATGATTTTCACAAAACTGTTTCACAGAATGGAAGAGACAAGGGGAGATCTAGAGAAATAACCTAGGAAACAAGTATGCCAGAGTATAAAAATAGATTGGAACTTTTGGAGATTGTAGGTAAGAAAATTTATTCTCAACCCCAGAGAACGTGAGCTGGTGGATTATCTGAGAAGGGAAACACTCACTGGAGCAGCTGAAGAGATGCAGAGATCTATTTCCAACAGCTTTAATTTCTAGGCAAGTTTATGAAGAGAGAGGGAGAGAGGAAGAGGCTCCAGGTCTGTGCCACACTGGGGTCTGTGGGAGGTGGCAGTGAGAGAGGCAGGCAGATTGTCCCCGTGCACAGCAGGCTGCACGCCTGCAAAGGGCACAATGTGCAGAGCTGTCCCCCTGCAGCTGATCCAACAGAAGGACAGCTTTGAGCTGCTCCCCATGGAGCCCCTGCTCGTGCAGAGCCTTCCTGAGCCACAGTCCCTGTCCCTAAATAGCTGCTCCCCTTTGGAGCACCCAGCTGGCTGACACACAGCCACAAGCAGAATGAACCGAGGCTGCAAGAGGCTCAAACCACTCCTGTGCACAACTGGGGAGATGGAATCTGTGTTCAGGCTGGCTGTCACTGAAGTATGAATAGAAAGTGCTGTCATAAAGCATTCCAAATGACTACTATGGCTATAGCAAATACCACAAGGAAGTCAGAACGCCACATATTTTCTGTAGGTTATGAATCTGTGCTATTCTGAGAAAAGGTATTTAAATAAAAATGCTTCTGGAGTGTCCAAGCCTGAAACTCAAGCATATGCTCCGTCCCTTTGGCCTGAGCTCTCTGGGAGCACACAGGAGGCTGTGGAGCATGCAGGAGCCACTGGAGCAAATATAGCTAAACCCTCTGTGTGTTATTGCTAGGAGAAGTTTTCTTAGAAATGCAAGTTACTGTGGGTCTGCTGAGCAAACTTTTTTTCCCTAATCGACACCACCTGTGTAGATTCACAGATAATTTGGGTCTGATCTAGTAAAAAGTACAAAACAATTTTTTCCTATTTGCTTATTCAATATGCCTTGATATCTACCTCCTTCAAAGCCTGTAAAGGTCTCTTCTGTGAGCTTCAGGAAGAACATTTGGTGATGTACTCTCTAGCTCTCAGGCCAAGTGCAGGAGATTACTGGGCTGCTATTCAGAGGCCTGACTTGGATTTCAAAAAAAGGAGAATTATTTTGGTTCAAAAGGATCAGCCATTTCAGTGAGCCTGACCTGGCACAGCTCTGCACTGCTGAGGACAGAGAGCGTGGTTGAGGCACCAGAACTGCGAGTGAGTCTGGTTTTGATATTCATTCCTCAGAGAACAAGGATTCTTTACTCCAACGCCATACCTGCTGAAGGCAGACCTCAAAAAATGTGATTGCAGCCTTTGCCTTCCTCACACTGCCACAATCCCCTTCTCCCTCCTGGACTGAAGCAGAGATAGAGATTTTCCTTTGGTATATCCATCAGTGCTTCTGCAGATTCAGGTCTGTCTCATTCATTAGTAACACCCACCATTATATACACAATACACACAGAAAGAGCCTCCAGAAAAATGTAGCACAGAATGAGACATTTGACAAAGCTGACATCAGACATTGTGCTGTGAATAACGAGATTTAAAATATCCTGTGCTATTGAGGTTCACAGAAACCTGTTCATTAACTTGCACTAGCACTCTCCATCATTTCCTTTATCCTCTTTAAAACATCACCAATGTGTACAAAATTATTTTGTTCTACTTAAAAGACCAGTTCTGAGGTGGTGACTGATTTCTGCTGATCCTGGAGGTGGTTTCACAGGTTTCATTGTACTTGAAACTTCACAGCTTCCACTGAAGTATTTGATGTGTGTCTATTGGTTTAGCAGAGTAGAAAAGTAGAATAATTTTCATATTGCCTCATATTGTTGTCAGAGCATGATGTCCTCTATGAAAACTTGAAAACTTTTTATGAAAATGAAAACGTTTTACTTGACAACTTATCAAAGACACATTTTTCTAAAGCTCAACAACCAATCTTAGTAAGTATTTGTTTAAAAAAGTCATCAGGGCTCCAATAGTTGTTATAAACCACTAAATTTCTAGTAGCAAAACTTATTTGCAGATTTCTCCCATAGAAATAAGAATTTTCAGTTAAGTCATCTACATTATTCTCACTAGCACTGGTTCAAAAACCCCACCTCATTTTGCATCTCTCAGTCAATCATCAGCTGGAATTTACCACCAGTGGTTCCATCTTAAATCTCATGTTGCTCAAAGCTGTGAAAATTTCAGCTGACTGGGAAAATTCAACTTTGGGTCAGGAAAATTATGGGTCTATGGGGAACTCATGAAAAGACTGGACTGGGCCCTAGGGTGAGACTGATCCCTGGCACACCAAAATGGGGCAGATAAAGGGCTCCTGTGGCACCTGCATCCTTTGTAGCACACATCAACAAACCCACCTCAAAAACAGCAGAACTTCCTCCAGCTTGATGGGGAGAAATGTCACCAGGTACTACTACATGACACTAGAAAAACAGGTAGATTAAAACCTGTGCATCTTCTCATTAAGGGACTAAAATCGGACAAACTATACTCTGTGCAGAGCTGTCCTCAGCTCTTGGGCCCAGGAAGGTCTCTGATTCCATCCTCCTCCTCCTCGGAGCAAAGCAGGCTCAGTGCGCTCGTGACGGGATGGATCCAGGACGTTGTCTGTGTCACGTGGCTAAAAACCAACAAAAATATACTATCAGCAACCCAAAAGAGGCTTACCCACACCAAAACAAGGAATTTGAGCTGGAGTCTCGAGTTGTAACAATCATTGACACCTTCAAACACAGAATTGTCTTTTTTCTTGCTAACTGCAAGGTTTTTAAAAACAAAATGTGGAGTCTTCAAACAGCCAGAACCTGGATTGGACGTTCTATTTCCCAATTCAATAAAGATAATGCTTTTGTATGAGACTCCTGATATAGACTTGTGACACTTCTTGTTAATTATTGGAGCTGCAGACAATTAACACAGCAGGGTATTAACATGGCCATCTCACTGGGTACAGCCTGAGGGAGGCAGGGTGGTCAAGAGGAAGTTGAGCAAATGTGGAATCACATCATAGAAACACACTCTTTAGAATAATGAACCCTGCAAGTGTCCAAGGCCAGGCTGGATGGGGCTCAGAGTAACCTGGGATAGTGGAAGGTGTCCCTGCCCATGGCAGGGGGTTGGAATGAGGGGGTGTTTAAGGTCATTTCCACCCAAACAACTCTATGATTACTATTCTAGCATAATTAAGTAATTCCTCTTCTTGCAGAAGGAATAAATAAAAAAAAAATATGTTTTTTACATGTCCTCTAGATGTCCAAACTCTGGATGTGCTCCCACAGCCTTTACACACACAATAAAAGGGCATCAGTGCTGATTTTTAAGGTTTAAACCCTACACTTGAGATGCAGGCTAAGCTGCTTTATAGTTTCTGTGTGAATGGAAAGAGGCCAAGCAGGGCTCAGTATGGACAGACACCAGGACAGGTTTGGAGTCTGTGGTGAGAACACTGCACACCTTGTGAGTGGTGTGTGCATGTGAGCCATACTGTGTGTGGGCAACACACTGCCTCTTCTGCCTTCTGGAATAATGTGTTCTTGGGAAAGGAAATAGCTTCTTTTCACTTGAAAAAAAAAAAAAAATCTTGCTAATAAATTCACAGTTTTTATAGTCAAGTCAGTGCAAAGATTAATTCTGTAATATAAGTTCACTACAAGAACAAGCTGAAAAATATTGTTGGTATAATAAATGCCACGAAGGACAAACGGCTTTTCTCACATGTCCTAACACAGTGTCCCCAAAGCCCAGGTCTGTACTCACTTCCCAGGTGCACTGGTTTAATTAAATTTGAAGGAACTACTCTGGATTTACCTTTTCAAGTGAGAACAGGTTTTGTCTTTTTCTGTGTGAGAACGCTCTCTTGAATAACTGATTATGGAAACAGATTTATTAAAGTAGGAGTTTGAGTCAATGTTCCACTACATTGAGTGATGGGTTTGGGATCGTTGTTCCCATAACATGATCATACTATTCACACCTTTCAGCTGAGTGCACTGAGCTGAGTGAATCAGTTGGGTGTGATGAGGATGATACAGTTCACCAAGAGGTAAATATGATCCTAATGTAAATCCCAGCTGGAGCTGCTCTGAACAGGTAACCTGTGAATTCAGGCACTTCTTCAGCTGAGGCAATGCCTGAGCAAGGACCACACAAGGAAGACAAAGTGGAATATAAAGGCTATATCCTTGGTTCTCATACATTTAAAAAAACCCAACAATTAAAGAACAGAAAAACCAAACCCCAAAGCTCCAGTTATGTGTAAAACCAATTCAGAAATGCTCTTTTGATGAGACCACGACTGGATGGAATCCATTCCTCCTTTTGTTATAAAAATGTGCATTAGTGGGGTTGTAGGATCAGTTTCACAGGAGTTAAAACAAAAGGATAAATGAAAAACATGTTCCTACAGAAAATACACTGCAGCAGACAATGACCACTCTTAAGGACAGTAATTATTTCATTCTAAGAAAGCAAATGTACTTTTTTTACTAGGACTAAGAGCAACTTGCCAAACATTTCCAATGTTTACCTTTAGAAAGTCAGGTGACAGCCAACATGAAGAACATGAAAAGAGTTGTTTTACAATGTTTTATGAGAGACTTGTGAATAAATTCTCTGTAACCAAGAACGATGTTCCCATTATTCCACAACACAGGGAAATCTATGCATTCATATTTATATTATGAATATATTTACATTTGTAAATATACTCAGAAGACTATCTTTGCTGCATATTTCTGCCATGTTTTCTATAATGCCAGGAAATGCCTTGTTTCCCAATTAAAATATTCAGTCAATAAGGCTTAGTACTGGAGATGTGCTCCAGATTGAAGTCCCAGCATGTGATTTATTGGTATAACAACACAGAACTTCTTCCAATACCTGCAGAATTACAGGAGCTGAATGAACTGGATTCCATCCATTCCACCTCTGCCAATGCAAGATTTATTGCCTCCAGAACTACTGTGTTTATATTGCCTACTTTTATCAAACCCTCTCTGAGCAATCAGTTGCTGAATTTAAATAAGAACAAAATGATTTTAAAATTTGTTTCTTTTGCTCATTTGACTTCCTCATGTAGCATGCCCTGACCTGCTGTGTACCTGAAGCCTTGGCTCCATTTTCTTCTGTACCAACCCTGTGAAATGGGAGAAACTGCACAGGAGCAGAAGAGTTACAGGGAAAGGCATCCACAGGTCTTTGATGTATCCATCTGAAAAATTCTTTGTAAAGTGTTTCTTCTTCAGAAGATTTTTCACCTACATACATCAGGGCCAGGAGGCAAATGACCACATGCCCACCTTCTTGCCACTGCTCTAAGAACTTCAGTTTGCTCTCACACAAAATAAATGCACAAAATTCTCAGTGCAAAACTGTGGCACTGAAATCCGGGTTACAATTATCTGTATTTGATAGCATAAGATTGTTTCATCACTGGTAAGAAAGAAAAGAAACAGTTTCCATTCATTTTCAAAACAAATGGGGCCAAGTTTTGCACTGTTGTCAAGCTGCTGCTGCAAACATTTCTGATTTGAACCCAGCTCCTTTCAACTTGCTCTAGACTTTATCCCACGGGCGAGTCTCTTAAGACAGTTTGGTTTAAACCCTTTGCCAAAATCCTTCCTAGGAAAAGAGCTCTTATAAATAAACATTAAGTCCAGATACCATGTCTCACATTGTAGACAGACACACAAAATACACACAGATTATTTAGGTAGAGAATAAATGTATAAACCCCGCTGCTATTTATTTTTAGTTCTCCAAAAGTGCTGTGACTAAAGAGCTTTGACATAATCAGTCCGAAGAGATAATCCCAGATTTACTGGTTTGGAGAACATTCTTGTATTAGAAATGCATCCTCTCTGATTTGTGTGTTAGGGCCAGCAATAAAAAGTGAGAGGGAGTCCAAATCTACCTCTAGGTTTTGCTTAATTGGTGCAACTGGTTTGAATTTTAAAGGAATATTTGGAAAGCCAGCATTACAAAGTTTAAATGTACAACATTTTCCATTTGCAAATATTCCTGTTCAAAAGCTTAACATTTTCAGAGCAATTAGCAACATTTAAAGATTTTTAGGTTTTCAAACAAATCACTGCTATTGGAGGGCAGCCAAATTTATTGCTAGAAAACAGAAACATTTGATCTGGAAATATGTCAGTAGATTAGTCTGTCTTTTTAACATCAGCAAAATGCAGGACAAATTTGAGATCTCGGGAAAACAAAACATGAGAACAAGAGGGATGTTTTGGCAAAGAAATAGTACTGGATTATTTAAAATGCCATTATAATTACTGTCCTTATGGCACTTCCTTCTTCACATGGAAAATTATTTCTTTTAAGATTACAACCTTAGACAATCTTTTAGGAAAATAATAACTCAAAAATTCAGAGAAAGGCTAATAGAAAAAAAAATAAATCTGGACCTCTTTTTTTTAGATTTTAAGCATTATCAATATATTTTTTTCACTTTCATTTTTAACACTTTGCTGTTGTCCCTTATGAATTTAAACTTGGTATTCATTTTTTGTTTCTTCACCTCTTGGAGCCAGCACACACCTGCAGAGCCAGCCAAGGTCTCTGCTGTGGCTGGAATCCCCTTTGGAAAGGCCAGTGGTTGGAAAGCACTAAAAGCTGTCAAGCACTGGAAAACTCTTGCTATTTTGAGGAGCAAATGCTGGGAGGACCTGCAAGGAACAACTTATTTTGAGCTGTAACTAAAGCATTTTAATTTAGCTGGTAAGCAATTAGAGCAAAATAAAACAACTGAGTGGCATTGATGCAAGTATAATCTATCAATCAATCAATCCTGAGAGCATCTAAGGACAACAGTTTCCAGACATGAATCCTAAATGCAGTTTGGGAAGGGTTTTTGCATTGCCTTTATCGACTGGATTATTTGAACTGAAACATTCATATTTTCTTTTTCCTTTTTTGTTAAAATTCATTTAAGCCTGCACCTTCTTTCAAGACATTTCAAAAGGAACATACAACCCCTAACAGTACCCCAGGAGGTGCTGGGCAGGTCCTGGAAAATGTCAGTGACCTTAATTTTACTGGCTGTAATAAGATCAAGAGCATGTCACCTCATGGAGCTGTGTCCTGAGGCAACATAAATGTTTCTTGTATTTCCCTCAGGGACTGCAGATTTTGCTTGAGTATTAATTAAAGATTGAGGGATATAAAGTGAAACCCCAGAAGACAGTCTTGCTATTTATTCCTTGATTAAACTGATTAAACCCTTGTCTACTCAGAAAAATCTATAAGCCATTTCAGAGGGCAGTAATCACTAGGAAGAAGATTTATCCAGCCAAATAATGTGGGCTGCATCATTAAAAATTGTCAACAATAAACAAATAGCCCAAACTAAAATAAAATCAGTAGCAACAGCAGGATCTGAGCCAAGGCTGAATCAGAACTAAGGTTTGAATGACAGCACAAGCACTTCTCAGCTTGAAAGCACTACCTGAAATCTGTCTCCCCCAGTATCAGTTCCTCTGGAAATGCTTGTTTAATGTATGCAGTTACTCACAGTCCTGTCTCTAAGTGAGCTGAATAAGAATTCTGCTGCTGTGTATTTGTAAATGCATCAGAGCATGCTCAAGGCTTTTGTTTAAACTCCTCGTG